GTCGCCCTCTTGACAAACAAAATGATTCATCTTCAACACTCTCTATGGAATGTATATTTTGATTGTTTAGTTTTTATTGTTGTTGATTATTATCATGTTGTAGATTGATATTTTGATGTTTAAAAAGTACATATACGATATTTTAATATTTAAAAAGGGCATATATATGATATTTTGATGTTTAATAATTACATATATGATATTTTGAAATTTTATAAAAGGTAAATATGATATTTAGAAATTTTATGAAGAGTAAATTTGATATTTATAAATTAAATTGGGTAAATATGATATTTTGATGTTTAAGAATGACATATATGAAATTCTCCATTAAATATAAATGAATTAACTATAAAAAGTATTTTCTAAAATTAATAAATTTCATATTTAATTATGATAATAATATTTCTTATAATTAATAGTTCAATTACTGTTTTTTATGTGTACCATTAGAAAATCCCAAAATAAGTATACATGAATATTATTCTAATTTTGGAATGCCACCAAACCCAAGGTTGTCAAGATCGGGATCCTACCTAGGATCGTTTTTGGGTTTGCAAAATTGGAATCGTAAGATCGGGATCGAGATCCTAAGATCCCACAAAATAGAATATAATTCTAATTTATAATATTAATCTAAAAAATATTTCAAATATTTAATTTTTCGTTCAAAAGTTATAAAAACTTTAAAATATTAGTCATAAGTCATAATAAAAATGATAAATGGTAGATTGGTAAAGGGTAAAAGATATAAAATGGTAAAAAAAATTCATTTGAAAAAAAAATTTAAAGGAAGGTAGGATCGGATCGGATCTCGATCCTACGATCCTACCTATGATTTTACGATCCTACCTGCGATCCTACCCAAAATACGATCCTTTTACGATCCGGATCGTTTTTCATACATAGGATCGTAGGATCGTACGATCCTACGATCAGGATCGCGATTTTGACAACCATGACCAAACCCACAATAAAAGATTTTAAAAACACGGAAATTATAATTTTGAAACAAAAGTCGATGATATTGGTGTTCTTTGAAAACATTGTTTGTTTTATTATTTAAAATAGAAATGTTAAAATAAACAAATAAATAAGTATATTACAATAAACATGTAAAGTCCAACAAATATTTATATCCATTTCATGGTTTATATATATATATATATATATATATATATATATATATATATATATATATATATATATATATATATATATATATATATATATATATATATATATATATATATATATATATATATATATATATATATGGCATTCATCAGTTTTATGGGATGAGAGGAAAAGATAATATAACCGTTCAAAAATGTGATAAACAAAAGCTTTTGTTCAAACTTGTTTTATGAATATACTTATTTATCGTTGTAATAACAGGGGTTTTTGTATTTTTTTGTCCCTTTTTTATGTTGTGTATATTGATTAAAAAATCTATGAAACCTACCAAATAAGCAAAAGAGTTCATAGTAAGAGTTTGTTCTTTTTTTTTTTTGTTTTTTTGAAAAAGTTAATAGGAACGGTTTGTTAATTACTCCATCGGTCCTAAAATTATAGTTCATTTTTTCTTTTTGATTTGTCTTAAAATAATAATTCATTTCTAAAAATAAGTAACATTTTTACCAAAATACCCTCTCATTATTACTTAGAGGGGGGTAATAAGCTATTTGAAAAAAACATATGTTTGAAAAAGTTAATCTAATAGTTTTTTTAGTTTCACTAGTTTTTTGAGGTGAAAAAGATGTTGAAAAAAAAAAAAAAAAAAAAAAAAAAAACCCTCTAAAAAAGCTTCTACCATCGTAAATGATCTAACTCAAACATATGACAATCTATTTGTAAATAACTAAATAAGATATCGGTTTATAAATAACATTTCAGTGACAAATCACACTTTAACCATCACTCTATTAAATAAATATCATATTTCCAATAACTATTGGTATCGCTAGGTCAAAAATCATTTTGTTAAGATTTACTTGGGTTATCCAAGTGTTTTCAATTATTCTATAATTAAGTTAGTGTGAAAAATTAAAATAACATAGATTGTAACAAAATAAGTGGAATAGGAGATTATTTATAATTAATTATTTCATTTAATTGATTTCCAAACATTTTTAACTTCAAAATCTCTATTAATAATGTTAATTTTAAGGGATTTAAAAAAAATTTTAAATTCAAATGTAAAATCATAGAAAAAGACATCTCTCATTTATAAAGAGTAACATAAAAGAAATTAAAAATTATATATAAAAAAAAAAGCTAAAACCACAAGTTTAAGATTATTTTATTAGAAAAGAAAGATTAAGATTATTTTATTAGAAGAGAAAGATTTTTGCGATAGAGACTAAAGTGTTATTTGTTTTTTTGAAGTCAAAATGTCTGCAGTCTGCGGACCACATCTGCAAGCCTCTGCGGCAGAAGAGGTGGACCAAATGTCTGCAGTCTGCAATAAGAAGACTGTTTGTTTTTAACGTCTGCGAGCTGTTAAAATAAATTGAATTTTTAAACTTAATTTAATATCATAAACATTAAAAATGCATTTTTAACAAAAAAAAAAAAAAAAAAAAAAGAAACTGCACGGTGGTCCATATATATTTTTTGGTTTACGTTAAAATGAGGTTTGGAGACCTTTGAAGGCAGTGGTCCATGTCTGCGCCAGGAAAAAATAAACAATCTGCGATGACATATGTCTGTGCGTTGTCTGCACGGCACAGACAAAAGTGATTGCGCAGATCTTCACACAAAAAACAAATAGCCCCTAAGATAAAATTATCCTTTGATACTATATCTAATTGAAACACTAGTGTTTTAATAACATGGTTTTAAAAGTTTATTACAAATAAAATATTTTACATTAAATGTGAAAGTTTAATGTTGTGTTTGACACGTCACAACTAGCTGATAAATTAATTTACTTTTTTGAGTTTTTTCTAAGTTGTCATGCTTATATTATTTTTTTAGGAGTTTTTTTGAAAATTTTCAAATATATCCCTTAATTAATTATAAAAATACATTCTTTTAAATGTCTTTTTAAGTCATTTTATATATTTCAACTAGTTTTATCAAACGATATTTTTTTATCAGTTAGTTTTTCAGCTGTCAACTAACTTTTTATTTAACTAGTTTTTCAGCTATTATGCCAAACATAACCTAAATTTCTTACTTTGAGTTAGAATAAAATAACTAAATATAGAGAAACAAACAAATTAGTTTTATTTAGGTGTGCTATATTGATATTGTATATTTTTTTTTCGTTTAACATTAACATTTTTTTAATTATAATATTTATGTATTTAATCATTTTTCTTATTATGTCACCTACTTAAAAAAAACTATATTTTAATAATCTCCGTATGATAAATTACATATTTTTAGAAAAAAAAATTAATTAATAAAGTTATACTGCTATTCTTCGCAATTAACCACAAATCAACATTGAACTACTTGTTATCTACCCTAATAAATGAAAATATTATTGCCACTTGTCATTCTCTTATTTATTTGGCCACATGTCATTTTATAAATTTTATGAATTATTTAATATCCACTTGTCATTTTTATAGATTTTTTAACTTTTAGTCAAATTCCACCTATTAAATATCATCTCATATTAATTAATTTTATTAATATATTAATTAATGTACATAATAACTTTCTATTTGTGAATTCCTCTTCCTATTAATATATTAATTAATGTATAATTAACTAATGTAGATAATATCTTTCATTTGTGAATTCATATTAAATAAGTTTATTAGTATAGATTAATTAAGATTAAATTACATAAATGGCCCATGTGATTTACCAAATGTCACAAACTCACTTGTTACTTATTTTATTATAAACATAATCCTTGTGGTTACGAAAACTTACATGAATGGTCTTTTTTTTTCCTCACACCTTTTACTTTTGGACTTTTTAATAAACCCGTGTAATACACGGGTCACACACCTAGTTTGATAATATGTCATGATAATATGATAGGATGAGAAAACATAAGTTAAATACAGTATAACCGAAATCATTATCATATTATGTAATTATACCATGCTATTCTCAATAATAATACAAAATTATATTTGGCGAGTTATAAATTTTTACCATATTGATTATTTTATTTTTATATTTTACCATAATTGTCGATCGCTTTTCATATTTAAATTAAGCATGTGATCATTACACGTTGCAGAGTAAAGAATGACAATCTGTATAGGGGATTTCTAACATTGAAGTTTAGATATATACTACTTCGTTCCATATTTATTGTTCACTTTTGATTTTTGAAGTCTTTATTTTTCTAACTTTGATCTTAAATATATTTTTGTCCTTGATATATAAACTTAATGCAAAATTTATTAATGGATTGTATTTTAAATGTTTTTTGATTGCTATAAGTTTCAACAGGTAATACATAACAAAAATAACAATATTTAAGATCAAAGTTGATGAATAAAGACTTCAAAAATCAAAAGTAAACAATTGTTATGGGACGGAGGGAGTATTATGTTAGTTGTTTAGATAACTATTCATGGACTATTTGTTCAAATCATTAGAGGACACTTTGTGATAGCATTCAACTTCGAACTATGACCATTTAAAATTTTATATTTTAAGCATCCATTGAACTTGAAGAAAATGAAAAAGAATAGATGTATGTATTTGCTTTAGAACAAAGTATTATTATGTTGTATCTAAGTACCTAAATGAAGTGCAATAGATGCGAATCATTCACCATTCATGTGGAGAATATTTTGCTCTTTTTTGGAACGACTTTTGCCGGTTATCTTTGTCGATTATCATGATCAGTTCAAATCAGTTGTCAGTTACAATTACTTACCCTTAAATGATAAAAACATACCGAATCAAGTTTTTGTCGCATACACTAGCCATCGATTAACAAGTTTCTATTGCTAGTTACCCTCAAATAGCAAATATTCTAGACCTCGTGTACTTATTGTTACATGAAAATAGTATAAGAAAATAGAACTAATACTTTGTATTGTGAAATGATGTTGCAGTGAACTCGGATGAGTGCTTAATGACAAGAATGCAAGAGATGTCACTTAACTACCACTTCAAAGTGGAGCAAGAAGTTGGTTCTTCCACACATTCATTTTTTGGCTTCAATGGTAATAGAAACATATGGTGCTTAAAAATTGTAAAAACCATTAAATTGCAATCTTCTATGCTTTTGTAGGGACTGCTGGAGTTTGGCGAATGGCTGCACTTAATGAGGCAGGAGGATGGAAGGATCGTACCACAGTTGAAGATATGGATCTAGCCGTTAGAGCTAGTCTTAAAGGTTGGAAGTTCTTGTACCTTGGTTCAATACAGGTGAAGAGTGATTTGAACATACATATATGATATATATGACTTCAAACATTTATATTATAACCTTACTTTAGATCTTTATGTTTTGATATATAGGTTAAAAATGAATTGCCAAGTTCATTTAAAGCCTATCGCTACCAACAACATCGATGGTCTTGTGGTCCAGCAAACCTTTTCAGGAAAATGGTATACGAAATCATCGTAAATGAGGTGAGGTCATTATACTAGTATTTGAATTCTTTTGGTTCGAACGCTTTAAGCATATATGTAATCAATGGATTAATGTTTTTTGTGAGTCTTTTACTTTGTTATGCAGAATGTTACATTGCGGAAGAAGCTACATGTGATCTATAGTTTCTTCTTTGTAAGAAAGATCGTAGCTCATATTGTTACATTCGTGCTCTATTGTGTTGTAATTCCTGCAAGTGTGTGGTTACCAAAAGTAGAGGTTCCGACTTGGGGTACCATTTACATCCCAACCATCATCACGATTTTGAATGCTGTTGGAACTCCAAGGTTTTATTTCTTTAATTCATCGTCTCTTTGTAAGAAATTTTAATTTTGTTTTAACTTCTAAGGGTTTTTTTCCCACTCTTAGGTCTTTATATTTAGTGGTATTTTGGATTGTCTTTGAGAATGTCATGGCCCTCCATCGAACTAAGGCTACATTCATTGGAATTTTTGAGGCTGAAAGAGTGAACGAATGGGTTGTTACTGAAAAGCATGGAGATGATTCCAAGGCTAAAACAATAACTAGTCAACATGAAATACGTGGCTTCAAATTAAGCGAAAGGTATGTATTCTTAATGACATGAATAGATTTAAGAAAGACAAGTAAACTAAATAATAATCATGTGTATCAGAATCCAAAAGTGTACGATTTTGTATTGATTTTAAAAAGGGACCCAAGTAGGGAAATATGTTATTTCCTTTAAATTACATAAACCTTTAAAGATTACCTTAATTATCATAACATACATAACTATCTAACAATGTATATTTGGACTTGTACAGGCTTCTTGTGGTAGAGTTATGTATGGGTATTATCCTCTTTGTATCTGGTTGTTATGATCTTGCATTTGGAAAGAATTACTATTATATTTACATGTATCTACAAGCTATCGCTTTCATCGTAACGGGTGTGGGTTATATTGGCACTTAGGTCCCTAAATCTTAGAATACTCCTCTATATGAACCTTTAGTTGGCAATCATTTTATCTTCGTGCCTCTAGTCCTTTCACCATTAGCTACAAAATACAATTTTGTTTGAGAAAGTGAAACTTTATTTTAGTTCATTTGATTGTTACCATTGTATATATACAAAAATAAATCAAAATAGTTGTGTACAAAGAAGAAACGAACACAAGGACAAAGGTCTTTGAATAAGCTAGGTGTGGGTTCATGAATGGTTAAAAAGCAGAAGGATTAATGTATTTGTAATATTTCGATTTTGTAGGTTTTGTTTGACTATTATGATTCATATTCATTTCATATGTATTTTTTTAATTTGTTTTGAATAATTAATGAAATAATTATGTTAAATAAATTGTTAAACCGAATGAAATTGATACGATATCATGTATTGACAAAAAGAAAATGAAATTTTCCTAGAGACCAAGAAACGTAGGTCCAAACTATCTATGCATAGCCTCTACTGCATTAGTGTATGACAATATAACTTAGTTCTCATGCATACAACCGAATTTTACAATGAAATGCAACCGAGAGTTTTTACTATTTTAATTTTTTCTAAAATACTTTTATTAATTATATAAATCCAGTAACAACATGCTTACGACCAATAATTCACAAGAAAACTAAAAAAAAAACATTGTAAGTATGGATGAAATCTTTTGTAAATGTAGACATGCCATATAAACCAACCATAATAGATGTCGATAAAACAGTATCAAAGAAAGAACGTATGTCTGACATAGAAAAGTCATTAATTGTTTAAGCTTCTACTACATTGTAAAACTTGCATGAAAAGTTAAAGAAAGAGCATCCATGATCCCAATGTACAGGGACCATCTAAAACATCAAATATAACACTTCTAAACTCTACCGCAACTAAAAAAACAAACATCGCAAATAATCAGTTTTTCCATCATTACTAGCAAATAAAAGTAACTAACATAGTTACACAAGGCAACATAATAAGTAATACTCACAAAAGAAATTAAAATCCAACAAACATGGAATTCCTCTCATCACTTTAAAGTTTTTCAAGATAACCCCATCTGATTGTATAGGGACCGTCTAAAACATCAATTATGTATTGTTTGTTTTTAAATATGTAAAACATCTACCATCTACCTACAACATTTGCAGATATTTGTAGAAAAAGAGGTGGACCAAACGTATATAACCTAAATAAAAAAGATAAATTGTTTTTTAAACATTGAAGACTACTAAAATAAACTAAAACTAAAATTTAAATAAATCATTTTTTTTAAACTTAAAAGGCTTTTTCAACACTAAAATCTAAATAATTTTAGTTTTAATATAATTCATATAACCACAATAATTACATTTTTTAAAACATTTTTGTTTTACATTAAAATTACGTTGTAGTCTTGGGTTTAATTTATAATCTGTTGTTTTAGTGTCGATTTTTCTTGCTTCATCGCTTTCTTTAGCATGAATATACATAGGAATATAATACTTGAAGGGATGGAAGCATGTTTATTGAGGAACTTATAGAATGCTATTAGTGTTTGATCAATACTTACATATATCTTTCATACCAACACAAACCATTATTGAATGATTCGTTAGAAAGGATGTAAAATAGAACTCAAAAATAAAAATATTTTGTTACATACACTTGAAATTCCTCACATGGTATTTTGACACTTCCATATGGTTTTTTAGACCACACCATAAATAACAATAAATTTAATTTTGATATATAGAAGGCTTAACGAATCTATGTTCAACAATTCAGCCGCCAAAAACTAGCAATATGCTCTTGAGACAACATCATAAGTAGCATCAAGATTTGAATTTAATATCAGGAATCTCATAAAATCAGAAGTTCAAAACTTCAGCTGCCAAAAAATAGCATTGAATTCTTGAGACAACACCATATATAGCAATCATGTTTTGAATTTTGAAATTGAAGGCTTAATGAATCTGTTGGTGATTTTATCACCAAATATATTTTAATGTAATGGACTTAACAACTGTTTCAAGAATAATGTTTTAGTTATAATACAAGTTAGGAGGTGTGGGAGTGCACACTTGTATTTACTAAACATTGTTAGTATCGAACCCTAATCTACTGTGTCAAGTCGGGGGTCCCGTTTATCCATTGAGTGGATAAATCTGGGAAACAACGACTCCTTTGAAACACAGAAAAACAGAAAAACACTAATTTCTTCATCTTCTTCTCAAAATTGATTCTGATTTTGTGCCTAAAATCAGATTTGTTACATCAGGAATTATCCCAGTTTGGATTTCGTGACACCCAAGGCATATAGGGTCGAAATATCAAACAAGGAAAGTGTTTTACACGATTCCTGTTTGTTATCCAGATTTTCATATCCCTATTTCGAATTCCCCAACAGAATCCAAGGGGAAACCCATGATACAAATACACTTCAAAAACTGAACACAAATAATTAAGATTAATGAGTGGTTTTGGTTTGGAATTGTTGGTGGATGCAACAACATGGGCGATTTGAGTTTCATTACACAAAAAATAATTTCATAAGCTAAATGACCCAGATCATGCTTACAGTTTAGCAAGTATAATCAAGATATCATATTTAAAAATCACCCAAACGAGGTTCGTATTTTCATCTCCAAAGTCCAATTTCATGAGAGGCAAATGATTGAACATTTGGTGGGCAATTCAAAGTTAAAGAAATTCGTTGCAACAAATGTAAACATTTGATTTCAGATTTCTAATGCATGAATAACAAACCCTAGAATAGGAAAACAACACTAAATAACCGATTTCAAATTTACTTCGGCAATGTAAACGTCTACAATTTTAGAAGAACTAAAGTTTCTTACTATCAGTGAGTAGATGACAGAAGAGAAGGGGATGGAGTGCTTGGAGTCAAGGATTTTCACTAGTAACGACATCAAGGGTCTCTCACGACAAGTGTCCTTGGTGTCCGTAGATGTCCGATGAGATAACATCGACACATGGAAGAAAGGCGAGGGCTTTTGGCTCATTTGATACGATATTTTCTGCCTTGTTAGGTGGTCTATGATAGCTTCATTTTATTACTTCTTTTCATAGTTTACTTTTAGTTAAAACCATCTCATTTTATTTAATCTTCATGCATATTTTCTCTTTTAGTTATTTTTCTTTTTTATCGGGTGCGTTCTAGTCTTTTGAGCTTAATTGCAGGATTTATCGAAGGTTATTCAACATGGACGAATGCGAGACCTATGGAAGCTTGCGGTTTGCTTGTGGACTTAAAGTTGTGCGATTGGGCCTGTTGTCAACATAATCAAATGATCAAGTTGCGCTTAATTTTAGATGAAGAATGATGATGATGTGAAGAGAATTTTAAGCTATAGAAGATCAATGAAGTAATGACCCATCTTGGGAGAGTCAAGAAGACACAATTAATCTTTCAAGTACCTTTACATGTAGGTTGGATGAAGAAATACATGAGAAAAATATTAGGCCAATCAAAGGGTCAAATGGCCCACTCAGTAGAATCCAAGCTGTCCGCGTGGATTTACAAATGGTCCGCATGGATAGCACTGTGAAGGATCCGAATTTTTGCATTATACCTCTATTTGGGGAAAGTTGGTGGAATACTTTTGAGGGACTTTTAGATTCGACTTTTTTCACACTTTTACTAGAGTTTTTAAGCGAGAAAAAGGGAGAACATATAAAAGAACAAGCCCATTTTGCTCTCTAGAGGTTTTGAAGATTTTAAAGATTGGAGTAATTTTCTTTCATCTTTGCAACTTGAACCATGTTTGTTACCTCTAAACCACTTTGAATTTCTTTCATTTTAGCCATGCTTGGCTAGATTTATGTTTTGTCGATTAGGGTTTAGCCCATGGATGATTGGTTGTTTTGAAGACTTATGCTATCTTGTGTTTGAAGTTTATGGAAATGTTTTTTAGTCAAACATCTTCTTGTGTTTATTTATCATTGATCATGAGCTTTGATGAATGAATGGTTATTTTTGTTGACTAATTTCTTGGTTAAGTAATGGACCCTCAAATTAGTGAGCAACAAATGGTTTCATTGTTTGTTTTAATTTCATTTAAACCATGGAAATGTTTCCTCCATAATGATAATGTAAGCATTTGATTATCTTTTGGACTTAGTAAGTCTTAGAACTTAAAGCTACTTGACTTTCACAAGATTATATGCTTCATTAATTTTGTGAATTTAATTAAGGGAATGTGTTAAGAGCTTTGCTAACCATTTTAATGACAAAGAAGAATTGTGGTAATTTGTGCTTATGGATTGCTATAGCCAAGTTAAATTAACTCACAAGTGTTGTTCCATTTAGTCTAAGGATATGTCAACTATGTCATCCATGTGGTGTTCCCCAAAATGAACCCACTTTACTTCATTGAATTTAATCAAATCATCTACTTGTTTACTTGTGATATTTACATTCTAGTTTAGTTTTAATTTTCTCAAGAAATCAAAAAGATTTAAACCCCCTCATTTTACTTTTACTCTTGTCTTACAAGTACTTGAACAAGTGATTTACATAGAGATTTGAATTGAACCAATCTCCGTGGATACGATCCCTTTACCACTATACAATGTTTTAGTGTGTACTATTTAGGGTATTTATTTTGTTGGCCTCAACAACCACCAAATTTTGGCGCCATTGTAGGGGATCGGATTATAATTAATTAATTTGTTTCTCTATGCCTAGATCTCAATGTGCAGGTACTTTAGTTTTAAACACGGAAATTGAAAAACAAGTACGATTCATAAATGAACACTTATTACATTGAAGATAAACTTTCTGAGCTAGCTCAGTTAGTTATGGTGATTGAAAGTGACCAAAGTGTGCAACCCATGCCTCTTATTTGTGATTTTTGCACCCAAAATGGACATCATTCCGACATGTGTCCATATTTACAATGAAGATGGGAAGAAGCGCAAGAGAAGGGAAGATACTACTTGTCAAACCAATGGATTTATAATTAGCCTCAACATGATTA